AAAAAAAAAAAAGTAACTCCACTGAGACTCATTTTCCTCATTCTAAAATTGGAAGAATAGCTCCACATCAGGGAAAGGACTAAATGAAATAACATGTATGTAAAGTACACAATTAGATGCAGTTAGTAGAATTACATTGTTTTTATTAATACCATTGGAAATGTGCTTGAGGTCCTACATTTGGAGTGCTGTTGATCTTAACATTTGTTCAGAAGAAAAGGAGCAACCTGTGCAAAGCTCATGTGTTCTGAATCCCCAGTGGCTACCACACCTGTGTGCGGAGCTGCTGCCTCTTCCAGTGACTGCCGCTGATGGGAATGTGTTACCTGATCTCACAGATGTGCGGCCTGTCTCTCATAAGGATGAGGGTGTCTGTGAAAATGTTCATGTTGAGCGAAAGCAGTTGTAATGTTAGTTGTTCACTGTTTTTCTTCTCTTCTGTTTCTCTGGCAGCTCTTGAAGTCCTACTGGCTGGATAATTATGCCAAAGACTCTGTAAACCCTGGAGTCATCGTGTTGCTGGGATGTGGCATCGTATCTAGTACTTGTGGTCAGTTGGCCAGCTACCCCTTGGCTTTGGTGAAAACACGCATGCAGGCCCAAGGTGAGATTTTTTTTAATGTTTTTATTTATTTATTTTGAGAGAGTGAATGCATGCATGCGTACGTGTGCATGAGTAGGGAAAGGACAGAGGGAGAGGAAGAGAGAGAATCCCAAGCAGACTTCACGCTCAGCACAGAGCCCGATGTGGGGCTCAATCCCACTGCCGTGAGATCGTGACCTGAGCTGAAATCAACAGTCAGACGCTTAACTGACTGAGCCACCCAGGTGCCCCTCAAGGTGAGTTTTTGATGGATGAATGATGCTGATAAAAGTACTCTATCAGCAACATGCTTTTGGAGCTTCAGGTTCTTCTGAGGTAGCAGAATATGCTTTTCAGATAGTATTTCACAAGCTTTATTTATTTATTTTTTTCATTACTGCCTCCCTAGGGAACCCTTTCATAAATTATTTTCCTAATCACTCCCTCTTCATGAAATTTTAATATCACAAATACACTGCACATGTACTCTGTGTATATCTGCATTTTATGGGTAAACAGTGAGATTTGGTTTTGCCCATATTGAGAATGCATGTTTTAAGAGTATATAAGCTTAAGTATCTAGATGGATTTGGGTTCAGACCTCTTTGGATTTTCCTCTTTGCCCCAAACCTCTTTGGATTTTCCTTTACTCATCTGTAAATGGGAATGAGAACTGTGCATTGTTGTGAGAATTGGCAACAATATATGTAAAGCACCTGGCCTTTGGCAAATTGTTGGTAAATGGTGGCTGGAATTGTTTGCTCTTATTGGACCCTACAACTTTTGAACTGTGGGATCCCTCCTCATTGTGACCCTGTCCTCTCCCTTGGCTTTGATTATACTGTGTCCCCTGGCTTTTCTACCATCTTATTGATTATTCTCTATTCTTAAAAGATTTGCTGGCTTTTATTGCTATTTAAAGTATGTAGCCTGTGCCTTTCTTTCCTTTTTTTGCTCTTTGCTGGCCAGTCTTACTCACCTACTATCATTTCTTTAAACAGTACCTCCTGGGTATCTACAGCTCTATTCCCAGTCTCTCCTCCAAGTACCAACCACCCCACTGCCCCCAACCAAGTGGTCACTCGTTAAGTAACCAATACTTTCAGAGCCATTGTCAGGTGCTGGACACTCTGCCAGATGCTAGGGTTAGAGCAGTCCACAAGTCAGATGTGGTCCCTGCCATTGTGGAGTGGAAAAGACACACATGCGGCAAGTAAACAAACTTGTTAAATCACCAACCCTTTGTCAGGGGAGTACAGAGCAAGGGGCTCTAACCTTACTTGGGAGCCAGAGGACATTGTCATTTAAGTTCAACCTGGAAAGACAGGTGGAAGTTAGCTGGTCAAAGGTGGGGTGAGGTGGAAAAGAAAGAGCCTTACAGCCTGAGGAAAAGCATATGTGAAGGCAGTGAGGCAGGAGAAAATGGGGTCCATTTGAGGAGCTGAAAGAAAATCATATGCCTGGAGAGAAAAATGGAAAGTAGTAACTAAATATTTCATTTGTATTCTCTCATTTAACCATCACAACCGTCTTTGGGATTGATACTAGTATTATCTGTATTTTACAGGTGAATAACTGGGGCAAAAAGAGATAAAGTAACTTCCATAAGGTTATACATTGGTATATAGTGGAGCTAGACTTCAAACCCAGCCAGTCTGATTGAAACCTTCATCTGGCAAGTCCCCCTCTCCCATCTGCCAACTCCAATCCAGTCCTCTCGTGGCTGATAGACCTATGTTTCTTTTTTTAAAGATTTTATTTTTAAGTAATCGCTACACTCAAAACGGGGCTCAGACTCAAACCCCAGACTCAGGAGTCACACGCTCCTCCAACTGAGCTGGCCAGGCACCCAGATCTGTTGTTTTTAAAGTCAAGGTCTGTTCACTTGATTCCTGTTCAGAAATCTTTGTGACTCTTCAGTGTCCTCAGAATAAATTCCCAAGTTCTTAGTGGGAATTTCAAAGCCTTTAGTAATCTGGCCCCACTTTATTTTTTCTCCTCCTCTCCATTTCCCCACCCCTGCCTCACTCACTTCCAGCGCTGGATACCCTCTGTGTAATAACCACATCAGCAGTCCCCATGTAGTGCCCCCATGTGCCCTCACTTTTCTTTGTGGTGTCAGCAGCATGGGCTTTCTCTTCCTCCCTTTCTTGACTCTTGAGGCCATTTTCAAGGCCCAGGAACCCTACATTTTCTTAAGCTCCTCAAAGTGTTCCCATGCTCCCCTTAATTCCAAGGATTGATCTACTCTCTTTTCAGTGCTTGGTTAATGAGGAGGGCTGGCCATGGCAGTGTGGGGTGGTAGAAAGTGTGTGAACTTTGGAGTCAGAAAGACTATCTACTCTTAGCTCCCTGCCACTTGCTGGCTAAGTATATTAGGCCAAGTTTCTCCATCTTCCTAAACCTCCAATTCCTCATTTATAAAATAGGTATGATACTTACCTTGCAGGATTGGTATATAAAGTGATAAAGCCATTATCTAACCCATAGCAATTACTGAACTAATAACTGTTGTTACCATTGTTACCGTAATTACGGAACTCACTATGAGGTGCCATGCAAGGAGATTTATATATAAAGGGATACTTTATATATTCTAGAATATCATTCAGAGTCACAAATACAACATATTTGAATACTAAATTAGCCTTCTTTCTTTCTTTCTCCCTTTCTTTCTTTCTTTCTTTCTTTCTTTCTTTCTTTCTTTCTCTCTCTCTCTCTCTCTCTCTCTCTCTCTTTCTTTCTTTCTTTCTTTCTTTCTTTCTTTCTTTCTTTCTTTCTTTCTTTCTTTCTTTCTTTCTTCTTTTCTTCTTTTCCTAGCCATGTTAGAAGGAACCAAACAAATGAACATGGTTGGCCTCTTTCGACGAATAATTTCCAAAGAAGGAATACCAGGACTTTACAGAGGCATCACCCCAAACTTCATGAAGGTGCTCCCTGCTGTGGGCATCAGTTATGTGGTTTATGAAAATATGAAGCAAACTTTAAGAGTAACCCAGAAATGACATGTTGAAATTTTTGCTTTAGGGTGATTATTGAAATTTTCATCAGTCCTCTGGAGTGACTTTTACCACCTAGAATTACAGGTCTATGGCAAAAGAAACCATATATTTGTCACAAAAAGGAAGAGCATATCAATGATTACTTCAAATATTTGGGCTCAATTTTATATATACAGAAATGTTAAAAATCATAGTTTTGATAAGCTCATACAATTTTGAAAAGGCCACAAAATTGTATTTTATCTTTTCATATTAGTGCCTTTCGACAAAGCTATGCCCTGAGTCCTAAATCTGAAAAATGTATGCTTGAATTAAATTTGTTTTGTGTGGTAATTATAAATCACTAATCTTTATTTTGGTTGGTTCAAGTTTATGCCAGTTCCTTAATACTTAAATGTCTTTTTCTAAAAAACAAAATGATCAGAAAACCTTGAAATTTAAGTTGTTTAATGTATTTTGAATGTCTTTGTAGACTTCTTAAAATTTCCTTGTAGAACCATTAATAGAAAATCATTGCATGAAAACATACCTTACAGCAGCCAAGTAAGTATAGGGCTTATATCACTGTGTTTCTTTAAGCTGAATGAGAATGAACTGAAGTGGCAGAATTCCAGGGCATGCAAATAACTCTAGTCCATTTACATTTTTTGTATAAGGAGAAATGATGAAACAGTATTTACTTCAATGTGCCCCTTTCCCTTTTCCTTGCACTGTTATTTGGTTCCTGGAGTGACACACTGATTGCCAGTATATTGCTGTTAAATTATCAATGCAAGGCAACTTATTTGAAAGATTCTATTTATTCTGTCATTGCTTTGAAAAGCACCAGGAAGCAAAACCTTTTACCTATATCAGCATCTGCAGAACAGCTGTCTTATCTTTGTCCTCCTTTGTTTCCTACTTGAATCAGATTCTCTTTTAATCAGGAAGGCTTCTAAGGAGTATTCTTGGTAATCGAACATTTCTTAATTATGTCAAGTAGGTTGATCATGGGTGAATGACATCTTCATTTCCCCCTCAGTGTTGAATTTGTCTGAACCTGCAATTCTCAACTTGGGCAGTGCAAACCTGGGAGAATAGTGCATTTTAATAGTAGTGTATATTAATATTATATGTTAGGTACCTGTGTTTAAATGAAAGGCTCAATTTATAAACATATACATTCATATTCTCCCTTGTGCCAAGTTTTAGGAACACATTATGATGTAGAAAATTTGTAAGATTGATGGCATATTTTTATTTTACTAAAGGCATTTTTGTAGGCAATCATCTTTTTTTACTTGTGTGATTAAGACTTAGACAAATATTTATTAGTTGAAGTTATTCTGTAGCTTTTTAATGTAGTTTGATTTCTAGAGATTTCGGTTATCAATTGCCAACATTTTTTTGTGAAAATCTAGTGACATAATAGGCATTTATTTGAACCTACCTCTTATATTTTTTGAACAAAAGAGAAATGTTGGAGCTGTGTTTGTGAAACATATTCTAAAATATAGCTTTTAATACATTAGTTATGCCTGATAAATGTCTTGGTATTTTTATAATACCCATGATAAGCATGGAACTCTATCTTCAGGGTTGTTTGTACTTTGGAGTAATTCGTAAATGACAATATTAAGGTACATGATTAGCTTTTTCTTTTTTTACTCATAAGAATTATGGGATGAATAACTAAAATTTTAAGCTACTGAAAAATAGTTATTGTTCATTATGAATTTAAATTGTTTGCTATTTAACATTGTAAGGTATGAATGTGGTTTATCTGTACATCATGTATCTTTTGAAAAAATGATCTTGTGTCTTTTGAAAAGAGCCCAGAGTTGAAGATGTTTATTTCTGGTATTATTGCATATGTACTTTGCATTTCTATTAAAAAATATATATGTTTGTTTTAAAAATGATTTGTTTCCTCATTTTTAAAAAATAGGCAAAAAAGAAAAAAAAATGGCTGTGTTACACAGCTTCTATCACTGGCAGCAGTTTGACTGATACTTTTCACATCTAACTCCATATAGTCTGCAAATATTTTCCTGAACAGCCACAGCAATTGTTGTTAATGTCATACATTTTGGTATAAGATGTTTTTCATGATGTCCAAATCCCACATTTATTAGTTAGGGTTACACCCCTGGGGGTTCATGGTGTCAAGGAGAATTCAAAATCATGGGATGACTTTTTTTTTTTTTTTTTTGTGAGAGAGACAGAGGGAGAGAGCAGGGTAAGGGCAGAGAGAGAAGGAGAGGGAGAATCCCAAGCAGGCTCTGCACTGTCAGCACAGAGCCAGATGCAGGGGCTCAAACTTGTAGGAACTCGATCTCATGAAACATGAGATCATGACCTGAGCCAAATCAAGAGTCAGACGCTCAACTGACTAAGCTACCCAGGTGCCCCCAAAATCATAGGACTTCTTGACACATCTTGGTGGAGTATCAGTTTGTCTTCAAGCTGTGGGAAGCAAAGCTAAGTAAGTTTAGTGGTGATTAAAACACTTTTTTACAGTGCAGATTACAATTAAATACAAAATTTGATTTTAAAAAATAAAATAATAAAACATAAGACTGCAAAGACATTTCTGTGCTCCAACTCAGATGCCACTCAGACTCCAAGAATAAACATATGAACCCTCCTCTGTTTTCAGGAACCCTTGGTTAGAAAAATGCTGCTGCATTTACTTCTCAACCTTGTATCCACATCAAGAGAAGCTTCATGTAAACAGGGATCATATTTTATGCTATTTTATACTTTGAGCTTTATATCAGGACACATGTATAAAAGTATGTCCTGGTTTACTTCTCTCCAGATAGGAATTTTACTTGCCCTTTTGTTCTTATGGAATTTTCTTTTCTCTTTCTTTCTTTCTTTCTTTCTTTCTTTCTTTCTTTCTTTCTTTCTTTCTTTCTTTCTTTCTTTCTTTCTTTCTTTCTTTCTCTCTCTCTCTCTCTCTCTCTCTCTCTCTTTCTTTCTTTCTTTCTTTCTCTCTCTTTCTTTCTTTCTCTCTTTCTTTCTTTCTTTCTTTCTTTCTTTCTTTCTTTCTCTCTCTCTCTCTCTCTTTCTTTCTTTCTTTCTTTCTTTCTTTCTTTCTTTCTATGTGCACCACAGGAGTATTGATATTTGTGGGGAGGAGCAAGCAGCAACCCTCCTCTCCTGCTTTGCTGTGTTCCCTTGTTGGGATTAGCATGGGGTGGACTGAACTCCTTTAGACTGCTCTCTGGGAGAGCATGCCCTGCCACGTTCTCCCTCCAGTGCAGCCCAGAGCTGTGCTGAAGTCCAAGCTGCCCCAGCCTGGACCCACCGCTGCCCTTTGGCCACAGTGCGATTGAAGATGCCTATTCACAGCCCTCTGGCTGGTGGGAAAGTTGTTTTTCTTCTGTGTGTGTGTGTGTGTGTGTGTGTGTGTGTGTGTTGTTTTTGTTTTTGTTTTTGTTTTTTTTACCAGATGTGCATGTTCCCTGGTTGTCACTGGGTCCCATGGCCATGAACTCAGATGCTCAGCCACAGCCACTACAGCATGGTTTTCTGTGAAAGAAGGACCTCAAGCCTGGGCCACTTGGGCATCTTATTCCATAAGAACTTATGTGTCATTTTTAATTTCAGTATTTATTAAACACTACTTTGTGCCAGTCACTTTCAGCGGCTGAGGACACAGCATTGAACAGAAGACACAGCACCTTTCCTCATGGAGATCACCTGGAAGGAAGAGACAGACAAGAAATTCACAGAGTAAAATAAGTAATATGTCTGATGGTGTAAGCACAGAAGGCAGTGCTGGGGTTGGGGCCGTAATTTGAGATAGAGAAGGCCTGGCCCAGAAGGTGCTTTTTGAGTAGGGACACAAAGGAGGTCTGGGAATGGGTCATACCAATATCGGGGGAGGGCATTCCAAGCAGAGGGAATGCAGATACAGGCCGCAGGTGTAGTGGAGCCGAGTGAGCAAGGGGGAGGGGAGGGTGTAAGCCATGCAGCCAAGGGGCTACCGTGGGAGGCATATCAACAGTGCGTTTGTCTAGTTCTCAGTCTCTAGGACACCAGGACAAGATTCAAATGTCTCCCCTCTGGGGGTGGGACTTTCATTATTGGAACCTTGTTGGAAAATGCCAGCCATTTCTGGTAATCTTCATGTCCATCTGTACAGTTGTCCCTAAAGTAGTCCAACACATGGACCCCTTCCCAGGCAGCATGTCTATTGGCTGCTGTATGCCTGTCCCTCTCCAGAGAGAATTTTAATTTTTAAAAAATGTTTATTTTTGAGAGAGAAAGAGAGAGAGCGCGAGTGGGGGAGGGGCAGAGAGAGAGGGGGGACGGGGGACAGAGGATCCGAAGTGGGCTCTGAGCTGTCAGCACACAGCTGGATGCGGGGCTTGAACTCATGAACCATGAGGTCATGACCTGAGCCAAAATCGGTCGCTCAACTGGCTGAGCCACCCAGGTGCCCTGAGAAATTTAATTTTTTAAAAAATAAATTAGAGATCCTAAAAATTTTCTAGATATTTCCCAGAGAATTACAGAGAACTTCAATTTCAGCAAACTAGCAAGGCTATAGCTCTTTTCATGTTCTTCTCTGACCACCTTGTATCTGCCCAGGATTTGTTTATCATTTATACAAGTTGTTCAATATTGGAAACAATCCTTTTATTTATTTTTTGTTAGTTGATATTGTCCTGCTTTGAATTCACTTCCACAAAATCAAGATAATAGTAACAAAAAAGTGATTTGTGTTTTGTTACTCCTGGAAAAGGTGCTGGTCTTGCCAGGGATTTTAAAACATTATAAAGTACTCTTTCAAAAACTTAAACTTACCACCACCCTCAGCATTCGCTCATCAGTCATGTTTTCCAAGAGTTTATACTTGTCTCTATATATACCAGTTGTACAACACAGTCAAGACCATGGGCTCAAGATGAATTAGCCCAAATCCAAGCACCTATAATCAGTCTGGGCTGTAGGTATGCATCAGTCAGCCCCCACAGGAGGTCCTCACATGAATCTTTTTTTTTTTTTTTAAT